CCCCTTCGCGCACCGCAGCCGAATTCGCAATTTCCCCGGATGCCCTTCACCTGAAGGACCCCTCTAGGCGACCAAAGGGCGACGGGATCCTACTGCAGGCTCAGCCCGCCCGGCCGCCCCGAGTAAGCGCTGCTCTCCGGGCCTGACCTGCTGACCGAACTCAGTGTCAGTGGGTAGCTCCTGCGTAAAACACGTGAATGCAGCCAAATGCGAGTGGAGCGCCCTGGTTGCAGACACTGGGGGTGGGTGGGATGCGCGATGAAGCCTGGGGAAAACATTCCAAAAGTTGCATATGGTCCAAGCAACCATTTCTCCACCACCAGGAATCTTGGCTTGGTCTGCTGAATCTAGTGAGTCTTACTTCTGAGTAGACCCCAAAGGCTGCCCTGAGTTTTCCAAAATGCAGTGCCATTTTTGAGAGGCACACCTGGATGCAACCAAACGGAAAGCTGCAAACAGAAAAAGGGGTTTCTGTGAGGAAGGGAAGGCAAGGGGGCTCTTTGCCCCCTACCAGTGTTTTCAGACTCAACAACTTTAAGATGTGGACTTCAGCTCCCAGAATTCAGCTAGCATCCACACATCTGAAAGTTGCTGAAGTTCAGAAGCACTGCTCTATCAAGAAGTCCAGAGAAATTGCGGGGGAATTGCTTTTGGGGTCTCTGGTGGGTTTGGAGGAAAACTACCTCTGGCCACTAAGAGCGGACGCTGACTTGAGGACACATGATCAGGTGTGCTTTGGAGTGAGGGTTTGGTGGTTTGATGTGCTGGGAAGGGAAGGCTGGGGAGGGAGCCGGGCGACCAGCCTTGTCCCCACCGGCATCTCCCTCTACAGCCCACTCCTCGTCCGCAGGCCAGGAGCAGAACTGTGGATCCCAAAGATCCCTGAGGCTTCGCTACCACTTCAAGGAGGATCAAGTGAGTCTGTGGTGCTTTGGGAATACACTCCAGCATGTTTGTCCTGAATTCTTGGAAGCATCGCCATGAACCTGGACTCAGCAAGAATACGGCTCCCTGAGCGTCCCCGGTCTGGAAGGGGCCGGACTGGGAACTGGAGGCCAGTGTGGGAATGGCTGCCCGGCTCCCTGGGGAGGCTGCACAGCCCTGAGAAATGCCACAGGCGGCAGCTGATCTGACGTGAAGAAGAAGGGTCAGGTCAGTTTTCCATGTCAACAAAGCACAAGGGTGCTCCTGGGCTCGCCGTGTGCCTGGGAGACAGGCTATTGGCTTAGGGCCAGTCCTCGTCTTCCAGACACCCATCTTCACCCCTCCCCGCCTGCCTCAAATGCCCAAAGCCAGGGTCACCCGCAGCATCAGCCCGAGCAGAGCGCCATGGGGCAATACCAACGTACAAAATGATAGGTATCTGGTCAGCTACTGTGGCCCCGAGGGGCCAGGCCCTTGGGCTGAGGGTCCATCCCATTTGAGGCAGGCGCCCCAAACCAGCCACGGCAATGTGATGAGACTGCCCAAACGCAGACACTGACTTCGCCCCTCGGTCGCGTCTCTCGCGGCAGGGCAAAGAGGTTAAGGCGCCTTTCCTTGCCCTGGCTGCAGGTTCAGGTATCTTAACGCACCGTCTGCTCTTCCTCTGAAGCCTGTGAAAAGAGCGTTTACAAGGGAAACCGCCCATTCCCAAGAGACAGCAGCCAAGGCCATTTGCAGGAGCTGAGAGAAAACGGGTGGGGGAGCGGAGGCCACTCTGCACAAGGAATCCCCAGGGCCGGTGGGGGGAGGTCTGACGCATGACAAAGCACAGGAAGAGAAACGCAGCCCAAAGGAAGAGGGGGAAAAGCCCCAAAGATGAAATACAACTATGGAGCGATAGGAGCCGAGGGAGGATGTATGGGCAGAGGGCCAAGGGAGGACAGCTAGCCATCTGGCTAATCCTGGAATGATGGAAGAACTTCAGGTGCCCAACGCCGGGTCAGATGAGAGCCCTGCCAAGCACCCCTCGATCCAAACGGAGCTGCAGTAATTCTCTCTGCTGACCAGCACGAAGGCCTTTGCACCAGCCCTCGGAAAACCTCCATCCAGAGCCCCATCACCCCTCCTGTGCGTAACTTTCTCCCCAGCTTGAGATGGGGGTGCCCTGTATGCTGGCCTTAATTTTCTAGCCCTTGTTCTTCTACCTTCCTTTTTAAAAATCTGAAAAGCCACAGCTGCCATTCTTCACATTCTGCCCTTCCTCCCTTCCTGATTGTCTCTCAAACTTTTGGGGAGGGGGGAGTGAATCAAGAGAGGAAAAATCTTGACTTCAGTGCTCCTATTTCCAGAGCAAACACTGCTGAGTCTTTCTCAGTTGCAGCCCAACTCACTGTGTGATTAAACATTTTTAAACTATCACTTTTTAAAAAAGGAAAATATTGCACCAAGTTTACTCATCTGCTGCAGAGCCCGGGGGCATCAGACAAGCTATGGCAAACAAAACCCTAAGACTGCATTGTGCAGATGTAGAAGACTTTCTCACCAGAATCTGTGTGGCTGAGAAGAGGGAAGCAACAAAATTTGGGTAGGCAAAGAGATCTCTGTTCTTTGCAACCACATAGGTAGATCGTCCATGTGGTTCCCCTGGCAATGACATTGCCCGGCTTTGCTTTTCCCTTTTTCCAGGACACTTTTCAAGTTCCCAGTCTATTCTGCAGTCCTGGGATTCCCTGGAAACCTTCCATCCAAGTGTTACTCAGGCCTGACCCTGCTTAGCTTCTGTGCTGAGGGTGGAAGAAATTCACCCTCGGCACAGGTGGGGGGGGGGCTTCATCCTCAGCGTCCTGGCTTTGTCCCAGCCCTCCTCAGCCTGATCCGGACTTAAACTTACACCATTACAACTCCAAGCACACCCAGCCACCCAGGGGAGAGGAGTGCTCTTCTTGAGGAGGCCACGAGGGAAGCGCCATTTTAGTCCACAAAAGGTCCGCAGGGCCTAAGGAAGCTCCTGCAGGACTTCACAGCAAGCAGAGCAGATTCCTCGAGTTCAGCGGGCCGAAAGGCCAGCCCAGAAGGCAGGTGAGGCTCAGCTGGGTGGCTTCAACCGGCCCGCCTGGCCAGGCCAGCAGCAGGGGGGTGCCTAGCCCCCACGGCCCCTCCAGACACGGCTCTCGCCCCCTTCCAGGACAGCCCTTTGCTGGCCACCCGGAGGCAACTCAGGGTAACCAACCGGGTCCTGCACGGTTGAGGGAAAGGAAAACAGGAACCCAACCGCCATAAAGATGGCCACGGGGCTCATTCACGGTGGAGTGAGAATTCCCAGCAGGAACACAGGCAGATTATTCCAGAGAGGGAATGCACTGAGGGCAGAAACAGAGTCGCTGGCAGCTGCAGAATGGCCCCCAGCTCAGCCAACGGGTGCGTCCAGAAGCCTCGTGGAGTAGTCAGCTCTGGCTTTGCTGGACAGGGGCTTGCCTCTGCATGAATTGGTCTGAGCCATGGGTCCCCCGGACGGCTTCCGCCCACAGGCCCTGGCTGGGGATAATCTCTGGGGCTGTATGTGCCCGGCCCTTTGGCAACATCAG